CAATGGGAAGTTGAACCTTTGATCTGTTTAGGGTACTGTGTATTTGCATTTTATAATGAGATCAAAGCAAGGTCCAGGGCACCCCCCCTCCCTCCCCCTCTAAAAGCTGTGGGCCTCAGTGAAAAAGCAGTGGGAGAGTGGATGTTTGTGAGGCAATCAACAGTAGCCCACATTCTCCTTTAGTTAATTCCGATTCCTGTACACAGGTGTTGAAGTGAAGAAGTGAAAAAGAAAAAAAAATTGCCAGTAGCAACAATCTCCTCGACAGTTAAAGTTCAAGAGCAAACATTTCAAACATTTCTAAACTGGTTGAGAATTGCTCCAGATTTTCTTTGGCATTCTTCACCTCGAAGAAATGCAGAGGGGAATTGACACACTTTGCCTGGAGAGAGCCCATAAGGAGCCGCGAGAAGGTTTGAGATGAGGGTCAACGTTTCAGAGTGTATGTGGAGGCTCTACTCAATACTGTTCCTGACCACTTTTTAAAACAGAAAATATCCCAGAAAAGAAATGGCACACAGTCACTCCTTCTGCGGCTGAGGTGAGCAGAGCCTCATGTTTTCTGACGGCTGATCAGAGGGGGAGAAGGACTTCGTACAATCGGTTTGCTTTAATTACCCCTCCAGTATCAAAGTATTTCTGTAGCAAAACATGAGCTTAAATATTGTTGAAAATTGAGATACAGTGCATTTAATTGCAGCAAGAATTAAAGGCAATAGTTACATTTTTGAAAACTACGATTTATTTTAGTATCGACCACTATTAGACAACTAATATTCTGTTAACAGTGACTTTGTGACTGATCTTGAGTCCACCTTATTATCTTTAAATTATGAATTCACAATATGACTTTTAAATACAGTTAAAATACCATTTAAAATATTATTTATTTATTATTTAAAAAAAGCTTTCACACATTTTCGGGTTATTTACATCTGAGTTTCACAGCAAATGAATATCACATAATAATCATTTGTAAAAAGTTTAGTATGCCGCTCTTAACATCTAATGAGAAGAACTACTTATTAATTAATAAGTTATCTTTAGACTGTATAGGATGATTTTGCCACATTTGAACCGACTGATTTAATGTTTTCAACCAATAATTCAAATGCATGTCATAACTTGACACTGGTTCCCCGTCACGTTAGGATGCACCGGAGACATCAGCATCTACACTTACTGTAATTAAATCTTTGCCTTTGGATGTATAGTGCAGCTAGTCATTTAGCCTACTGCTCATCGCGATGCATGCACGCGAAGGACGACAAGGGGAATACCCCCTCCCCTGCAGCCGTTTTTTTTGCAGCTTCTTGAAGCCACGCGTCTGCAAATGACTTATGAAGCAATTGCCCCACAAACAGTTGTAGCGAAAGTAAGAGACCGCCGATCCTTTAATGACACGCACGCAATACAGTATCTGTGAAGATTTTTGAAAAGATGTGACAGCAGACTGGACTGAAATAACTCAGCTCTTGTAGTCCCATTCATTTGATTACTAATCATCATTTACTAAAAAGGTTTAATAATGCATTCCAACTATGCTCTTTTGAATTCTAAAATAATGAAACTGACCTAATGTAAAACATCTTTAAAAACGTTCTTCTGACCTTGACTGAATGGGACTGAGCGATAGATATGAATTATAATCAGGAAGACACAGAAGTAGTACTCTGCAATATACACATGCAACAAGCAGAACCCTATACTCTTCTAGGAAATATGCGTTTAGGAATCCTAGTATATAAAACATCCTTAAGGAATCTGGCAGATATTCAATAAGACGCGCTTGCCATTCACCCTACAGTATACAAGCTGAAACCCACAAAAGACTGCTTGGACTGACCTGCCAAATATGAATCAAGAGTACCTCAGAGAGCTGGAGAGGGTGTTAAGAAAATCCCCGCCTAATTGCTTGCTCATAGATGCCGAGCACATACTCTGCACTCTCCAAGGCAGCGTTCACACTTTTTGACCTTGATGAATTATCTGTTTTTATTGACAGCACTTATTGATATTTCTTAAAAGCGCCGGCTAATGGAGTTCTATTGAGATTATTAAATGAGCTGCTGCTACTGGGATTAGCCCGGTCTCATCTCGCCAGCACAGCCTGCATTATCATACAGAACAGACGCATGCGTGTGTCGAGTCCCAAATTCCAGCGACTGACATCTCCGGGGAACAGAGGAGCGATGACTACATCCGACCTACATTCACCCCACCCAGGCATGCTCGCTTCCAAGTAATTATAAACGTGCACACTCAGTCACACTATAGGTGGAATCATACCATAGTAATGTCACAGTGCAGGGAAACGTTACTCCTGCATGCACGTTGCATGATTATACCGTTTAAATGATGTGATCCTTTTTTGCAAAGACGCATTTCTGAGGGATTTCAAGTCAAAAACAACTTAAGAGTGACCTCCTGGAGTTTGGGGAGGGAAACTTTTCTCATGCTTTTGCACAGACTTGGATGAAAATATAATTTGTGTAATGGGGTTGTGAAAATTCTCCAAGCGCAGAAACATTAGGAACTAACCTAAGGCTGCTGGAGCTCGCTCAAACGCCCCAGGCATGGAAACAGCACTATTGGATTTCATTCAAATGTCTTATGCAATAAAACCATTTTATAAATACTCGATACACATTGTTTTAGTTGTTAAAATACTCCGAAAAAAAAACAATGACATGGAAAACACCCCATTAACAAGAACTGAGAAATATGTGACGCAGGCTCTAGCGTTTGAGCTCATCGTCAAACCGCATTTCAGAGTTTCCTGTACTGAGCATCCTGGTTAACGTGATGTGGTTTTTTACACGAGAGGTATTTCTACAGTTGCAGCCCACAATAAGGCCAAAATCTGTAGATCTATGCAAACTTTTACTAAACTAGAAAGTACTTGAAGGCGGCGTAATCTCAACCAATGCTGACTAAATCTATAACTTGCTCTTACACCCCATGACATTATTACAGTCATGTCAAATCTACATTACTACCTACAGTTAACGGAAACACTTTCCATTTCCACATTTTATATTTCTGTAAGTGTTACCTCTGTGGGTACAAAAATAAAAAAAATACAAACATTGAATTGCATACATCCTAAAAAAATCTTCCACGATCTAACACTGCTTCAAACAGCATGCTTTCTTACTTCCAAATTCAATCAGACACTTTCAAAAATCCAGAAAATAGAGATTTCAGCCTCATCTAAAATGTCAAATTTTCAAAACAGCTCCTGTGATATTTTAACAACCTGTTATCAATTTACACCGTGTGACATTTCCAATTCTTGAGTGCCATTTATTAAATATTTGTAGGCATTTAAGACGAGGTTTTAACAAAATAAACATTTCTTAAGTGTCTCCTGTACAAAGCAATACTGAAAGCAGCAGCTGATTTCATGTCAAAACCACACGAGACAACAAAGGAAACTAAGTCACGCGAATGGCCACACTCGTTAGCCAAGCGTTGACTAATTAATATCATGTGTCACCTTTCTGCTCCATCTACACTGGGCTGTAATGGATAGAACAGAAAAGTGCAGAAGTGGCAGCAGTACCGGTCTGATTTGCACTGAGGACTCCCACACTGAAATGTATAAGAAGGGAACAGTATGCATTCAAGTGTCAAATAAATGTTGCGTCTTATCTACAGTTATTTTAGTTGTGCTAGCCAGTCACACTGTTATACTTACAAGCAATAACGTCCACTTCAACCCACATACATGATGATTAACTCTCTCTCGTACAAAAGAAACATTAAGAATTTAAAGTACCATAAATGATACAGATTGACCAATGGGTGCTATATGCAACCAAACCCAAAACCCGCTTAAAAAAACAACAAAAATGCTGAAAACTTGTGCCAATATCTGTAGAGAAAACCATAAGTGTGTGATGAGTAGTTCAATTGCATGCTAAAGAAGGTGTGTGGTGTACAAAATCAAGACGATGCCTGTGTCTCAATGCAGGGATACATGCAGAGTGACATCACATACACTGTTGTGTTTCTGACAACTTCATAAGGGTTGATAAAGGCAAAAGAGGAAACAAAAGGTTGCATAGTGAAACAATTCATTTCCTTACACAAGGCATTGCCACACAAGCTCAAATCAATCCATTTATAACAACACATGCTTTCTCATCCCTTCCTCACCTACACACACACACACACACACACACACACCTCCATGCAGCCTGTACACACGCCAGATCTTGTCGCCCCAGGAAATGGGCTTCATACATCTTGTCTGACTGCAATAAAGCAGTGCCTAAGATTCTATTTCCAATAAACGTCGACTGATTGGAAAACTCATTCTAATATCAATTTCCATCTGGACCCTTTAAAAAGGCAATCAGCATAGCTTCATCTCGGTATATCATGGGCTCCTTGAGATGATGACACAGCACTGGCTCTCTCTTCTGCATAATGGCCTTCTCCTATCAAGGCATCTGCAATGAATAATACCACCCATGAATGGGCTATTTAGTCTGTGTTCGCACAGATAGGGGCCACTTCTCTGAATATTAATCCAGGGTTTTACACTTCTATGCTTCTCTCAGCGCTGCACCATTTGTCATTCGGAGAAGTAAGGCACTTAGTGTGATTTGGCGCACTCGTAGTTTCTCTTTAAGCTTTCTCAGAAGTGACAATGGTGATTACCAACGGCATCTCACTTTATTTAAAATGCCCAGTGACCACAAAACAATGATTTAAATCAATCTCAACTCTTTCACAAAGGCTGTCCACGGCTTTCTTCAGAAGGTGAGGTCAAAGAAGAATGTTCATGAGTAAATGTATATCCACTGTTGTAAAAACCAAAAGGATATTCGGTATTCAAAAACAATGGAATAAAACTGGTTTGACAAGAAATCAGGAAGTCTGTAAAAAAGGCTGAAGCCCCACTTTAATCGGAATGCAACCCAATTGCCCTTATTATGAAAATAGACGTCTACACACCTACATCAGCTCAAAAGAAAGGCTTTGTCTCTTACCTTCCAGCCACTGCCCGCCTCCCTGTAGTAGGGAAAGTTATCACAGATCCACTGGTAGATCTCGCTCAGTGTCATCTTCTTCTTTGGCGAGCTGTTGATGGCGAACGTGATGAGGCTGGCGTAGCTGTAGGGCGGCTTGCCGTCCTTGTGTTGCTGCACCTCCTCCTGGTCCAGCGTGGTGTTAGGATCCAGCATGGCGCTCTTCTTGCCCATGCCTGGCCCGTGGGCATTCTGGGCGTCCGCCTTGCGGATGGCCGCCTGCATGGTCAGCTGAGGAAGCCAATCCATGGAGGTCAGGCTGCTCTCCAGCTCCGACGTCATGGTGACGGCAGGCTGGGCCGGAGGGGGGCGGGGAAAAGGTGGAGGTGGTGGTGGTTGCTGTTGGCGCTCGGTGACTGATGGAGAGTGGACCAGGTGCGGAATAACAAACAGAGACGAGTGACAGCTTGAGGATGAAGGCTCCCTCAGCTCATCAGCATGATGTCTTCCGTAGGTCAACTCTGGAGAAACAGGAAACAGAGAAGGCTTTATTAGTCAGCTTTTCTATCTCACAAAGAGCACAGGAGAGCATTGGAAATAAAAGATTATGCATATCAATACTGCAGAGAATAAAAACAAATGCAAGCTAGGAAGCACCTCGGAACAGTTGGCCAACATCAAAAACCAAGTGTCTCTGTAAAGTATGCTTATATTCGCCGTGCAGTAGATCACAAGCCCACCACTTTCTCCACCACTTGCTGCTCTCAGAGCTGAGTCATAGGGACTCCATCTGCACAGAGAGAGAGAGAGTAAATGCCAGGCAATTGTTTTCACAACTGCCAGCCAAATGGGGGAATGGCTCAGGAGGAATTCCGACTCTCTTGAGGGTAGTAAACCCCCTCTCTTTTCTTCCCTGTCTGCCAGCTTGCCTGCCTCCTCCCCTTCCTCCCCCAGACGGAGCCTCTGCCGTAAACAAGCCAGCCAGTGTCGTCTTGCAAAGCCGTCGTCGACCCTCAGCGTGTCGGCCGGGCTGCGCAGGCCACAACAGCCTGTCTGCCCGTCCCTCTCGGCACACTGCCCTGCCCGGCTTAAAATAGAAGGGCAGAGTAGAAAGGTCTAGAGTTACAATCGTAGGTGAACACGCGGATCTGTGGGAGAAGAAAAAAAACCCAGAGCAGGATGACACTGCAATCTGGCCGAAGGAGAGAGAGAAAAGAGAACAGGCGGGAGAACGAGAAATCCTCAACAAGTGGGGGGATTTTTCTCTTGACTAAGCATGCTCGCACAAGTGAGTGTGTGTGTGTTAGCATGTGCGATTTTGAGGGTGCACTCTGGCTGTCACACTGGGAATAAATAGTCCTGACACTTCTAAGGTCTCCCTTGAAAAAGAGATCTATGGGACCAATCTGGTTAAATAAAGGTTTGAAATGAAATGAAATGACTCAATAGGTCAAATACCATATCTTTCAAAAATAGTATAAGGAATCCCAATTATTACCATTCAACCACTTTGACATGAATCTTAATAAATATTATACCACAGTGAGATTAGCTTTAAATGTGTTGGTCTTTTCAGGAGTATGTATTATATTTTTACACCAATATTTAAAAAAATGTGTATGTTACTTCATTAGTGAGCCAAAAAGTTGGGAAGGAGTTTTGAAAAAAAACATACATTTTATGGGCATCTGCTGTCAATATGAAATGAAGCAGGAATACTGAGATATTTCTAAATTGGGCAAACTGCTTTGGCAGTCGTTTGGTCACAAGCAGTTTGTGGTTGTTCCTTCAATTGATCTCTCACAGCGGGGGGGAGCCGGTGCTCAGCAGCCAATTCAGAATCTGCCATCAGCGTGCACAGCCAGAGCCAGATGATGGAGGCTTTTTTTTCTCTTCCAAATACCCAACAGAACTTTAAGAAGCAAAAAGCCAAATGTAGTTAGTAGAGATCATTAATGGAGTCAAGCTTTGATAATAAATACTACCTTATAATCAGTGTTGGGTTTCATCAAGAACTTTAAAGTTCCTATCCAATGTTTTTCTCTGTTAATTGCACGTACCTTTTAATTAATTGAATATCCTGCCTGTATTCCGCCTCAAGTGTATCCTTTGTTGAGCAAAGTTCAGAGATGGCTGTACTTAGAACAGTAGTTAGTTACCTTGATTTCATTGTATTACATTTTAGTATCATTATCACTGCTAGAGCCATCCACATAAACATGTTAAAATATTTTCACCAAACTATCGCCCAGAATGCAACTTCTGGCTCAGTTCAAAAGTTTTGAGAAGGGCGAAGGCATGACTTGAAAGAAGCCTATTTTTGCCATAGTTTGGCAAAATGGTGAATGTTTAGAACTTACTGAGCATGAAGGTTGAAAACAAAAAAGGGATTTAGCTGAGGAGTGGTTTGAGACAGTTTTATCTCTATGAATACTTGTGACCTTTCAAATCTTTTGCAACTGACTGAAATCAAAGTTGTCCGCAGCGGTACTATTTCAACGAGAACAGCACAACAAATGTTTTATAGCCAAACCTTTTGATAAGCAAAGATATACGAGTGATCGAGTGTAACTTTAAATTATTCACATGAAAAAAAAAAAGCCTATTTTCTATTATTTTCTATTCCTCCTTCATTTAAATTTGCAGTTTGTTCACAGGTTGGAGACCTGGATGAAAACGCCAAAGACTTTGAAGTAACTCCCACCCCCACTGCAGTCATGAGCCGACTGATGGATGAGCGGAGCTGCTGACGGGCTACGGACCGGTGAGTCAGCCTAATGGAGGAGAAGAGTTCCTCACCAACGAAAAGACAAACAAATCATACACAGAATATCTCCACCCTGTGACTGAAACACAGGTGAGTCATACGCTGCTAATGACAGTGGTTTTCCCTTTTGAACGGCCGCCCATTGAAACATAAAACTCATTTCATTTTGAAGATCTTTCATTATTGTTCTGACTGTCTGTAGCACCTTTCAAAGAGCCACCATACAGTATTAGTGTTCATTTTAAGAGTATTCATTGTCCACCAACTAACCATTTACATTTGATGATATAAAATAGAGCTGAAACACCATATTGATCAAGAGAAAAGATAACCACTTTCATATTTTATGAATCCTTTCAATCATTTTCAATAAAATATAACAACGATGTCGACTTCCAACTATTCTTATCTGAGGATTGTCAGCGATCTGTTTTGTGTTATTGCAAATCGAAAGTCTTTGGACAACCCGCTGGTTTTAACACATAACACATTACCTAGGAACAACTGTAACGGTTGCTTATAAGATTCTCTTTAACATTTATCAACTAGATCAAAACATTGCAGATGAATCATAACTGAAAATAGTAATTACTTGTAGCTATTTAATACATTTCATTTCATTTCATTAGATTGAAATGGGTGCACCTGAACTGGCAGCTCAGTGTCAGGATCTATACAGGTTAAGTCTCGGTGATCCTCCTACTGACACTAAATGCTCAGAATGAATAAGGGTATCGAAGGAGAAGTAGCAGGCAGAGCCTCGTGGCGACCACCAGAGGTGAGCTGACGGAGAGGGGGGGGGGGGGGGGATGAAAGGAGCTCCGCCCGCTACACAGAGACACATGCCATTTGACCCTCTCCGCTAATGATCCAGCTGCTACATAATCTGCAGGGCCAAGCCGGTGTCTTAATTAGAGAAACCTCTGCGGGCTGAGGCAGGAATGATGAAGCAGGGCATCACAGGCAGGCAGTGAGGCGGCCCCCCTGCTGCCTTCATTACGCTGCCAGGCAGTGGGACAGTCAGAGCAGGGACAAGCCCCGACCTGCCGCCGCCGCCGCGTCAGAGATGACTGTCGGAGTGTGTTCACCAACTGGGTCTGGGAGTGAGGCGAGGAGTACTGAGGAGGCGGGAAAAGATTAGAAGAAAAAGCCAGGGGAGATGTAGCAGTGAGGGAGGGGGGGGGGGGGTGCAGGGCTCAGCAATAGTCTGCATCGAGAGGAGGTCTGAGAGTTCAGGCGCTATTATTACGAGCCCAAGGGAACTGACTTGGGATCCCAAACACATACAGCCACTTTGATCCAGCTGTAGGAAAATGGGGTTCCATCACTGTCACCGCCAAATAAAGGAAAGGGACATTTCTTTCTCAACTTTAATTTGTTTTTAGAATGGATGGAGCACGGAGAGTATTTGAGGGCTGAGAGGGAGAAAAAGATGGTCAAATGTATTCTCTATTCAACACTCAAAGTTTCTTTGTCCTCAGGGGATTAATGGCAGATTTAGTTCTGAATGGGAAATGAAAGCGTTTTTGTGACATCTTAATTTACCAAGGTCTTGACAGGATTTATCAACGTTGCCGCTGCCAACAGAGCACTGACAGCAAACCAGTGATTGTGTTTTGTGTCTCAGCTCCTAAGTCTGAAGTGGCTCAATCAAACTGACAGCTTGGTTATTAAACATGTGCCAGGCTCCGCTTTTATTCAAGAATCTCCAGTGAGACAATGAGCTGAGTAACAACCAGGGATCACTCAACACAATACAGCAGATTACGTCAACTCCAACATGTTAGGCAAGTATGTACTCCGATGACAAGACAGTTACTGCGTCACTTCTGCTCCCCGTTGCCACTATTGCAAAATTGATGTCTGTACTTAAGCAACTACTTAAATGTTTCAGTACCGCTTAAAATGGCTGGCCCGGGATAAAATGAATACTTAAAGTGGGTTATTGCTACAATGACTTTCTTTAATAAACAATTGATATAATGACAATAAGCAGCTACTTTATTTGAATCCTAATGCAGAAAGTATTGATGAAGTATTGATGATGCGATGAATGCAGAAACAACCCTGAATGTAAATCTTTACTCATTTCTGAATTTTGAATTAATCCGATGAACATAAGTTCAATTTCTTACCGTTTTATTACGATTGGAAAGTACTGTCAATATCACATCAGAATGAAGCATCAACAGAGGTGTTTTGTTATTTGTGGGTAAGGTCACTTTTTTTCAATTACAGTAACACTAGATGATGTTGTACAATGTTTTACAAAGCTTTACAACTTGCTCTACAGTACAACCAAAACCTGGCTGATGGTCATAATACTGTTCCACTTTTTAATGATCAATTAATCCATTATGTCACTGTGTTGTACAGCAGTAACTCAACATAGTCAGCAGTCTTGCTAAACATACAGATGTACACAGGTGCGGCATGCAAATTGTATTGACTTTATTGAAATGCTTCAATCACTATGAGAAAGGCAGCATGAGGCTCTTTTCACCTTTCTAGGATCAGTCTGAAGTATCTGGATTAACTAAGGGTCATTTCATCAAAGATAAGCCCTTAACGTGTCATCCTTACAGTCTGATGCTTTATGACAGAGTGAACATGGTTCATTTGTATTGAAACGTTAATGCATTTAAAGTGCAATGTTTTCAATTGTTTACCTGACTTGAATGGGTGTTTTGAATATTTCCTTTCCTGTTGCAGTGTGTTGCCGAGTGGACTCTGAATATGCCCGCACTATTGCTA